GCCTGAATTTTGGAGGAAAGTGCTAATTATTACTGGATGACGAGAGGGGCTGACCTTGGAAATCAGATGCGTCTTGGCAATTGCCACTGAACTCAGTCCACATTTCTGCACTCTTCAGATAAAATTATGAGTCCTTTTCAATTGCCCTGCTGAAATCTAGATCCATTTTCTACTGATTTTCCTTAAATCTAGCAATGATAATAGTTAAATTAGTCTGACACATGTAAGGACAAATACCAATTAAAAACAAGAGGTTTTAATTCTCTCCGTTGAAAATAAGGGAAGAGGCTCCCCTTCTTTCTCCCTTGTTCTTTCAGAATTCACTTTAGATAACTTGTGATTGTAAAATCTTTGTCTTCTATGTAAATCTAAAGTGTTAACTCAAGGACCTGGCAGTCACTTCTTTAAAGGCAACTTCCGGTAATTGTCTCCTCCCTCCCAGTTTCCCGGGAGGAGATCAGCGTAACTTCAGGTATCCAGGTATAAAGATACTAGAAAACTGGCACTTTACTCTTGAAAACACGAATGTAATGGGCTGTATCCACTCAGCTATATAAAGGATAAGAAGTCCCAGCGGCGCAGTGGTTAAGCATTTGGCTGCTAACGGAAAGGTCCGCGGTTTGAACCTACCAGCCGCTCTGTCGGAGAAGAAACCTGCGATCTGCTCCCATAAAGATTAAAAAACCCATTGCCGTTGAGTCGATTCAGACTCATAGTGACCCTATAAGACAGAGTAGAACTGCCTCATAGGGTTTCCAAGGAGCGGCTGGTGGATTTGAACTGTTTACCTCTTGGTTTGCAGCTATAGCTCTTAACCACTGCACCAGCCTAGGAAACTCTACGGGGAAGTTCTACTCTGTGGGCAATTCTACGGTCATATGGGAATCCACTCAACGGCACACAACAACATATAAGGGTAAGATTTCTTTTTTTTTTTAAATTGTGCTTAAAGTGAAAGTTTACAATTCAAACTAGTTTCTCTTACAAAACTTTATACATACGTTATGTGTCCCTAGTTGCTCTCCCTATACTGTGACAGCACACTCCTCCTTTCCACCCCTGATTTCCTGTGTCCGTTCAACCAGCTCCTGACCCTGTCTGCATTCTCATCTGACCTCCGGACAGAAGCTGCCCATTTAGTCTCATGTATCTACATGAGCTAAGAAGCACACCTATGCACTCTAGGGAACAGGGACATGCTTTCCTCCCAGACACTCAGGGGCAGCTGTCAGCCCCCTGCATTGCTCAGCATGTGACACCTTACTGCAGCCAGATACTGTGCCTACTCCAGGCACCCCTGCCCATCTAGAACTGTAGGTGAGAGCCTGCACCACACACTTGGTTACCGGCTATCTGGACACCTGAGCTGAATCCATACAAGAAAAGTAAATGGACTCCTGGGTGCACATACTTGGTAACAGATCTAACCACCCGGCGACAGGACGTTAGAGCTTCAAAGGCACCAGTAATCAAAGTAACTCACATAAGCAGCCTACTTGGGCATATCAAAACAAAACAAGAAGCTAGGACACAGTAAGCAAACATAAAATAAATAAATATAATAACTTATTGATGGCTCAGAGACAACGGTCAATATCAAATCACATAAAGAGGCAGACCATGATAACTTCAGCAAGGTCTCAAAACAAGGAATCAAGAAATTTTCCAGAGGAAGAGAACTTCTTTGAATTACTGGAGGTAGAATACAAAAGATTAATATAAGAACTCTTCAAGAGATCAGGAAGAAGATC